TATATAGAGAGAGAGAGAGAGTAAAGGAATGACCAAAAGCTATTATACGAGTCTCGTATATCCCTCATGCGCCTAAGAATTCGAGTACCAAACCCTGAATTTGGTGGGGAATCAAATTCCAGATCAGATGAGACTTACAACTGACAAGCAAATGAGGCACAATTAGATCTGAATACGCGGCATTTTTGAAGACTATTTTCTTTTAAAAGAAATTATGCTGTCAATGTATTATTTATGGAAAAGAATTTGTTAATAGTTAGTCCACCGCTTATTAGCTGGGAGAATGATGAATATTAAGAAAATTAGAATAACTTAGATTGGAATCTTTACTGGCAATAACTACGATGTAATTATTAGAACCATAGCTGTATGTTTATTGCTTTTTCATAAAATAAACTAAACATTTGTTTATTATGCCTCGTTTAGCGAGGGTGGCGCTGCCTTCACTCAAAGCGGGCTTACCGTTGATTAAGCATTAATCAATTTGAAAATTTTCAATTTATTAAATAATATGATGAGAGTATTTTTAAATAATTTTATTGTTTACAAAGCTACAAAATTTTATAATTAAAATTATTAATTAATTAAACAAAATAAAATTATATTGAATTATATTTAAATAATATTTTAATATACATAAAAAGATTTAAATCTCGCCCCTACCTCTAGCATCGGTTCTTTGATCGCTAACAACTCGTGTTTGGCTTGCTAAGCATATTTATCGAACACGAAAAAACTTTTTTTGTTCAAAATATTAACCATTCGCACATAAGCAGTGGTATTTTTTAATGAGCCAAACACAAGCTAAACTTGGGCTCACTCATATTTGTCTCATTTACACACTATTGAGTAATTATTTAACGTCTTGTCGTTACACATAGATTCAACACACATAAATAATAGAGAAAATAGTATTGAGAGATGCCAAATTTTTTAATTTAGAAAAACCCCGGAAAGTATAAAATTCACAGGGCCTAACCCAATGAAAGTAATTTATTATATGATTGTAATATCCACTCTCCTTCTAAATTGGAGAAGATATAATTATAATGTTGATAGTTACATATGCATGATTAGACTACAACAAATGTGGTTTGTGATTGTAATAGCAAGTTAGTCACACAGGTCATAGACCATAATTGGTAGTTGAAATTATAGTAATTAGCCATAAAGGGTAGCCACATATGTCGTAATTTGTAGCAATATCATCAGTTGGCCACAGAGGCTATAATGGGGAGTTGCAGTAGTAACTAGCCACTTACTTCGTAACTAGTAGTTGAAAATAAGTTGATTGGCCACAAAAGCCATAATGGGAAGCTAAAGTAATAACTAGGCACATAGGTTGTAGTTGGCAACAGTGAGAATGTAAGTTTGCCACAAAGGCAATAGTTGGTAGCTAAAGTATCCTCAATTGACATAGAGACCATAGTTGAAAATTATAGTAGTAGTTAGTCATCTCATTCATACTTGACCACATAGATCTAATTGATAGTTTACCACATATGTCATAGTAAGAAGCTAGTAGTAACTGGCCACAAAGGCTATAGTTGGTAGTTGTAAGAGTTTTAGTTGGTCCTAAAGGTCATGCTGGAAAACTACAATAATAACTGACCACTTAGGCCAATGTTGGAAGCTAGAGTAATAGTTAGACACATTGGTCATAGTTGGTCGCTTAGGTTGTGTCTGATAGTTGTATAGTGTCAGTTGGTCACATAAGTTGTAGTTGGAAACTAGAATAGTTGTTAATCTTATATGTCATAGTTGGTCATATAGACCATATTTGGTAGCTACAATAGTGTTAGGTTTTCACAGAGGCTATAGTGAGAAGTTATAATAATAACTGGACACATAGGATATAATTTGTTTTTATAAAAGAATTAGTTGGTGTCGGCATTATTTTTGGCGTGGGGTTTGCCCGTAATAAGTTGTCGGTCATCGGAATTGAAATCCCGTTGCCCGCTTCGGAAGGACGTTTTAAAAAATTTAGTTTTGAAAAAGATGAAGTCAAACTGACCCCATAATTTTCATAGTTTAGATGAAAGAGCACTTTATCTCAAATCATGTATCTATCCCGAAGGATGAACGCAAGAATTGAGAGTGAGGCTCGATCAAATAAACTAAAGAAAGTTATGACATCCGTTTGGTCTGCGAAACCAATGTATTGGCCGACAAGTTCCCCTAT